TTAGCTGAAGGCTTTGGTTCCTTTCCTACTTTTGGAGACTCTGGGAACCAAAGGGAACATCGCATTCTCACATTGCAAAGCTCTGTTGGAATAATATGGTACAATGAGCTCTTAAAGATGCTGTGGTGCCTGAACATTAAGGGATTGATAGTTTAGACTCATGGTTTTAAGTGGTATTCTTGATTTGTTTGGCTTGAACAGAGAAGCAAATATGGGAGCGATATGACCTTTTTTTCCTAATTAGTACAAGTTCCACCAAAGAGAGAGATGGGTAAAATAGGAAAATAAGTTTCACTATAAACTATGAATTCATACTTTTCTTATGGAGTGGGGTTTGAAACAGGGAATTTCTCATGTGTATGATGAATACCTTAAAACCCTGGTTTCCTGCCTCTCGCCATGGATGCGCTCTCAGATTTCCTCTCTCGTTCACACCATATGTGAAGGGGTTTAGAGACTATGAGAAACAGCTTGCTTGAAATACCACGATCCAAGACCTCATCACCTGAGCCACTAGATAGAACATATGGCAACACACTGTGTGTAGACATGTTTATGGATCTTTATTTAATAATAATAAGTTATCTTACAAAACGGATCTGAATAACAAATGTGTGCAGAAGGTCTCTAAATACTTTCCAGGCACCCATTTTAAAGGAAAAAGCGACCATATTTGTTACCAATGTTTGCTATTAAAGCTTTAAAATCTCAATCGAGTTTTTTGTGTTTCATTGCCTTTTGAAGGGGCACAGTAGAATATAAACTTCTGCAACAATTACTTTTTAAATGATGGATATCAAAGGTTAAGTGTTTTATTTGAAAGGAGAGTGGAGGTAGTAGATAAACATCATAAAAAGTGTATTCCCTCCTGTATTAGGAAAGGTTATCCAACTGTCCAATACAGAGAGAAATGAACTGTATAAAACGTGTCACTTGTGATAAAGCACACTGGCCTCATAGGTTTCAATTGCAGCATGAGAAAACTCAATCTCTCCTAAGATCTGATAAAACCATGGCGAAAACAATAGTTTGATACGGCATGAATGGCGTGTTTGATAGAGGTAAACATCATGATCATCTATGTGCCAGATCCAATGAAACTGGAGATTCAAATGAACTCTATACCCTCCTTTTGTCAGCCTTGCATTACCAGTTAAATATTTGATGAGCTGACAGGTGATATCCTCCTGCCCAACGGAATGTTCCGGCTCACAGAAAGTCTTGGAAACAGGTTTCAGGTGTGTGTGTGTGTGTGTGTGTGTGTGTGTGTTTACTATTAACCAGCTGAGTGTTTTGTGGATGAAGGAGATGATGAAATACTATAACAATATTGCACAATTACCTGAAGGTGAGTCAGAAATCATATTATACTGTATAACATTGTTAAAGCTTCAGAACAAACCAACAAAGGCAACACAACATTGTTTCTAATGGGATAAAGGCTATTACTGTGAAAAATGAGAACTGTCAAAGATAAGCATCATATTACATTTGATTTGAATAACGGTTTTAAGAAGTTACCCATTAACCTATTCCTCAAATGATCGCCCAGAGATACGGGCATGTTATAAAGGAAGAAGGGTTGCAATGGTGCCCACACAAACATTGTGGCATCATGCCTGAGGTGAGCATTGATGGCTCGGATTAATGATTGACTTAACTGTACCGAATGTTTGTTGACATCCTTGGTCATATTTGAAAGAGGTACAGTAAATACACTGACAAAGTTCCTCTCACACATTTATCCGAACTCATTTACTAAGCGTTAAATGTCCCTTTGCTCAACCATACTATTAGAGAGATATGAACGTTTTTTCAAACTCTCGGGAAGCCAATAAGGACATTGCCCTTGCAAAAGAATGTAACAAAAACAACACAATGTCTTGTCTTCCTCAATGTCTCGTCTTATCCCTGTGGTTATATGTCGAGAGAAAACCTTATAAAATGTTAAACAGTATTTAAAGAGTTGTTTATCCATCAAGTTCGTAAAGTGTTTTTATATTTACAACACACTCATGGCAGCCATCTGCTGCAGTCATTTGGCCTGAGCCTGTTTCTCACTGGGAACAGAAGGTTCACTCTTAACACATGAGGAAGTGCAGTGTACCTTAGATAAAATGTTGCCCCTCAACTCCCCGAACACACACACACACACACACACACACACACACACACACACACACACACACACACACACACACACACACACACTCCCTTTGCGGTCCGTGTATCTCTGTGTTTGGGGCTGGCTGGCCGCAGCAGCACCCCTCCTTGGCTCAGGGTGCACACAGGGGTACGGTTTCCTGAGCAACTTGAGCAATTATGGGAAGTGGTGGTGACCCGAATATTAAACCATGTGCACCCACATTGCATTCCTTCCCCCCCCAGTTCATCGGTTAACTGCTACAAGCGCCCAATAAAAATAATTGAGAGACTTTATGTCAGTTTATTTGGGTTCATGTAGGACAAAGTCGGTGACAATGGCTGTATTCATCTCAGCAAAGCCAAGGGGAGGCTAGTGGGTATGGGAATGTGTTCTGGTGTACTAAATCAAGTAAACCCTTTTTTCTAACCAAAGACTTGATGATATCTTCGCCGCATAGTAGCTTGCATCCAGCATCACATGGTAGGCTACGAAGCATCACATGATGCTGAGAAACGTTGTGATGTGGTCAAGGAGGTCATTTAATAGAGGCCCTGGAGGTAGACTGTGAATGTTCCTTTTCTCTCAATACTTTTCCAACTTCACAGAACTTGGATGGAGGTTTGTTTTCTGTGTATTTGTCGTGATAATAACATTTCTGGAAATTTAGAAATTACTGACAATATTGAGCCAAATAAATGTTCTTCCTGTCCACAGAAACTGCCTCTAGTCTTTGTATTGGCCACAGAGCAGGCTCTGGGCGTTCTCCTACATTAATCTTAAAAACATACACCAGGTGTTTCACATTAAACTGCCAGATTTACCACAAACAGCGTCGGAAGGAGTGTGACATGCTTATCAAATTTACAACCAGAGCAAGGAACCACAGTGGGTTGAGCAATCGCAGCCGGCACATTTTTACAGGGGACAAAAAAAACAGGGGTCCATCGCATGTTTTTTACTTGATTTTTTCTTCATATTATATATTACAAAACACAAGTCTACATTCCTGGAGCCAGATCTTTTCCCAAAGAGACAAATCAGGTGGTATATTATGGCTCTTCTTCATGTTAATGGGAATTTAAAAAAAGAAAAACAACATTATAGATGTCAGTTTTAATAGTATTGTAACTTGCTTGCTTCCACAGGACAATTTCACGAGACAACATGAATTTACTGTGCACTAGCCCTGAGGAATCCTAAAGTCATTAAGTCAACGTGATACGGTTGACTCGACAAAAGGTTTATTGTTATTGAAATTTTAGATTGGATTTTAGATTGGAGTACAGGTCGAGTTGACAACTAAAAGGTTAATAAAGGTAATTAAATGTATATCATGAATAGATCTTATCATCAAAATTAGAAAGGGAGCCTAAGTTTTTAGCTATTCAGTTAGAAATATCTCTTAGTTTGTGTCCGGAGGCTGACAGTCTCTCCGTATTAACAGAAGGCTCAAAGCGTACAGTTGGGGCCGGTTCAGACTTGCTTTGATCCGGCCCCTAAACTTCTTTCGGCTTTAACTGTCGTGGGGCTTTCAACTTCCATCCTTCAACTCTCCTACTTCTCTTTCTCTTTATCTATGCACTAATGTCTCATGAAGGCATATTATTAACTCAGCATCCAGGGCATCATCTCTGGAGTTTTTTGTTTCCCACCTGGCGGGTGGTTACATCTGGATAATGAGTGGGGGCTGCGCCTGTTGTCGTGGTCCTTCCTGGCGCCTTATTATTTATTATCATCCTTCTGGATCCATGTTTTCTTCTAAATGTTCATATTATAATTTGGATTTTCATTCGGAGTAGTTCATTTTGTCATTTTATTATCGTTGTTAATCTATAAACACTACACCTTTTGCACATCTGTCCGTCCTGGGAGATTCCTCCAATGTTGTTATTTATAGACAAATATTTTAATGGCCGACAGGTGCCAACGCGCTACAACGGCCCAAAACATTTCCATTTGAACACATTGCAGCTTCAGAAACGATGAAAATATAAAAATCACAAATGGGCAAAACACATGCAAATGAAGAAACGTCTTCAATAGCTAACCAAGTCATTTTAAAATCTTTTGACGAAATACGTACAATCATGAAACAAGCCTACATGGGCCAACAGCTACAGTTCTGTCCATGTGAATTTTAGCGTTTCCATTTCTTGCTACGCTTCTTGCAGCATTTTGTATTTGTAATGTTTTCTAAATGCTGCACATGTGTTGTCAAGTAGGTGAAGATATTTCTTAATTGGCATGTGTCTTGGAACATTTGTGTTTTTATATTTGCATTGTTTCTGAAGATGCAGAGCATTTCTCCCTAACGGAAATGTTTTGGGCCGTTGTAGCACATTTGCACCTGTGGGCCACCGTAAATATTCCAATCCTACCAAAAGGCTAGATGATAAACAGTCTTTATACAGTAGATACATATGTGTAACTGATTGACATTTAAATGTTGCAAGCTATATTTTAAAGAATTGTGTTGAATGTCTATATTGCCCCACTGGCCTAATAACAATGAAACTGCAAAGATAGGTCTAAGCCTTTCTCTCTATTAAACTTCCTTAAGTCTGACAAACAAATATTTAGTTCAATGGTGGGATTTCCTTCTTGTCTCTTATCAGTTAGATCCTAAAACAATGGACTCTGCCCACGCTTGTCTGCTCTCAGTGCTGCGGCCCTCCTCGCGGCTTTCCCCTCACGACCAGATGTCCCTTTCTGGGCTGTAGCCAGAGGATTTAGATTAGAGCAGGAAGAATAGCTAAATAAAATGAGATTGGGTGTCACCCGCTACTGTAATTCACACCAAAATGTCAACCTACATCTCACTGCTAAAAAGACAGGATCTGATATATTTGCTATGGACGCCTTAGAACAACAATGTTTAATTGGGAATTCAATATACACATTTTTATTTACATTGACATTATGAGCACTGGGATGACTTTAGTCTGTTTTGCCATGGCAGTTACCAATTGAACTGATTACAATTATCAATCAAACAAAATTAAAAGATTTGCCAAAATAAATCTCTCTCTTCAGTTGCCATGGTCACAGAGACGCAAGCAGCTTTTTTTTCCAGGTGAACCAACAGTTGGAAATCTGTGCACACATAAGAAAATACAGCATTCAAATTCAGCATTAATGTACCACATCTTCATTGTGATAAACATCTTCAAAAGCATAAACATCATTTTACAATATACGCCTGTTTATATTTACAAAAAGACAGAGCAGTGTAACTGAGGGACAATTGTAGCCTAAAGGAATAGATGAACATTTAGAAGTGGCACCTCCATATGGAATTACTTAAATCCTGCAATACAGACATGTGCACAAACACAAGTAGACATTCATGCTCCACACACACACACACACACACACACACACACACACACACACACACACACACACACACACACACACACACACACACACACACACACACAAACAAACACAAACAGGACAATTTCCTTCAGCAGGGCTCTTCACAACAACATCCACTACTGGGAAGAGGGGAATCATAATGGTCCGGACTGATACAGACTACTGGCTGAGAGGTGCTGAAAGTCCCACTTCTAAAGGCGGATACAGCTGGATACAAAGGAGAGGAGGACTGCTGGGAAACCAGCTACTGGTCGCAGAACAATGAGATGACAAACACACGGAAGCAGAGCGCTGTACGCAGCGTTGACGTCTGAACAGAGAGCCCTGAAGACGCACTGGCTCATCTCAGGGAATATTGCAGTCCACTTACAGTAATGTTATTTAAAATGTGCATCACACTGACTCGATCCATGATATATACTGTACAATTGAGAGCTATAGCAGTATCATGGGCAAAAACACACCAATTGCCTGTCAGCCAGAAGAAAAAGTGTTCCTTCATAAAAGGAGGAAGAAGGTAAAAAGCAGAGAAATCATGTATCAGAAATGGCAGTACCTGTCTCTCATGCTTGTAAACAAAGATCATACACTGGATGTGGCATGAGAGCAAACCATATAAACCTGAAATTATTTACAACTTTACAAGAGAACTCTCCAGCAGTCCAGCTGTCAAAAAGTGAAACTATACACCTGCATTACATGCCTCTGTCACAAAGCTAAGATGAACACCAGGAGTTACAGCTTCCTCAGAGTGTCTTCTTTGTCAAACGTTTAACTATCCATGTCATCATATAGCAATGACTAATATAATTACCTACAGTTATGTACATATACAGTCAAAAGCACTTCAATGAAAAGCTAGCGTACCATGTATATCTCATATCTCTGAACTGTGTTTACAGTGTTGGCGGGCCGATCCATGAAATGCTTTGACGGATCCAGTAGACAGTAAGTTGCTCTCTAGGTAGTGACAACCAACAAAAAAACAGCAAAAATATATTTCCTGAATGACTTGAAGCACTTATGGACACTAAGCAACTCTCTAAGCAAACCAACAATGCTGACTAATAGCTTATATACCAGTGTCTCGATATATCTATATTTAAATTGGCCCCCAAAGATTGTTTTCTTCATATAAACACAGATCTGAACCGTTATATAATACTGACAATAAAACAGGAAAATAAAAAGAAAAAAAAAGTTTTTCCTCCAACAATTGCAACTGCCAACCAAAAAGGGAAATGCTACATAAACATGTGTAACAGAAAAACGACAAAGAATAACAAAATGAAAAATGTACAAAGAAAAAAACTCCAATAGATAAACAGAAACAGTGTGAAGGACATTTTTAACAAAAAAAAACCCAAAAAATACATAACAGTGTAATAATCTACTTTCATGACAGTTTTAGAGTAACCGCTGATATCTCTCCACCCTTCTCGGTGCCTTAACAGTTCTTTGTTATAGGCAGGGGAGCATTAGTCCGACTGTCCTCTGTACTTAACAACAGTAGTAATGACAATGATGAAAGCCATTTGTCCTTTGTTGTTTCTGGTATGGCGATTAACCATTCGTCTTCAACAGGTAACAACATATGCTGTTGGTACCAGGCCAGTGGGAGGGTGTAGTAGTAGTTGTAGGGTGATATGTGGCGGAACATTACAGGCACTTCATGAGGCCGCCAGAGAGGTGGAGTGTGTCCTTACACCCGTTGTGCTCTGAAGGTTGTCCCCTCGAGAAAGACCTCGTGCTGGACCAGTAACGGCTGAGTCGGAGCGCTGTTATTGCCAGCAGCAGAGTTATGACTGTGAGGCGCAACGCTCTCAGAACTTTGTTCCTCCCTGGCTCTCGGCGTAACAGGAAGCCTGGAGCTAAAGTTCAAATAGATCTGAGGATTAGGAAGAAGGGGTAAAGAGAAAGAGGACAGAAGGATCATTATTTGATATTGTTTTTGTACTTCAATTTCAAACATTTCAAACAGTAAACATTACTATTCATCTCATTTGAAGACATGGACTCTTTAGTGACTTTAGCGTTGTTTGTGTCATTTTCCCATGAGATAAAAGCAATACTTTTCTGCTGAGAAACAACAAGCCGGCTTCAGCCCAAGGCAAATCAAAACAAAAGGTCTTGAGCCAGTGTGACTGCTCTTAGATGCTTCACTCAAAACAGCTTTGCTTTAAGCTGAATGCTAACAACGGCTATATTTAAATGTATATGTTTAGCAGGTTTAAGCAGGTATTTCTTTGCTCACTATTTTAGTTTAGCATGTTAGACATGACTGACACAGTGACTATTTTAAAAGACACAGATATTGTGGGGTTTGAACATGGCATCAAATCTTGTTTAATCTGTACGAAAATCTATTTGAAAAAAAAAACTAGCCATATAATCTTTCGTAAAACCACAATGTTTATGTCTTCTTACATTTTTGTATGGATTAAAACAAGATACAAGTTGTTAATGAGAGACCTTTCACCACTTTTTAAAGCTTTTAACCAGCCAGTCATGCTCACATTTGAGTATGGTATCAATCTTTCGAAACTTTATCTTAGTAAGAAAGCAGATTATATATCCCAAAATGTTTACATGACATTGACATAAGGAATTGTCAAAGCTATTGGAGCGTAAGAAGAGAGTCATGAGAACAATTGGACCCTGATATGTAGCATGGTTAAATCAGACCAGCTGAGAGTTCATACATATCTGCTCATGCTGTGAGAGGCCCATGACCTTCAGCTGACGTATGTGTGAAAACTCAGGAGTTTAAAAGCAGTTCTGAAAATCACAAATGATTAGCTTTAGCATTTAGCATAGAAGGCAATGTTTTGATTCAATGCGCATATCTTTTTCTATATTTTATATCTTGTCGAAGCTCAAAATGGTGTCAAAGGTAGGCCTATGACCAAATTAACCATTTCACAACATATTTTACCATTAAAGGACTCTGGAGCCGGTCCTATTTCACAACCACATACAGTATTTCTGTTGAATGCCTGTGAGTCTTCACGGTTCATTATCTTTAAGAATGGAATTTATAACCGTAAAGGTAAAGTAAACAATATCAAAGAGATGAGCAACCTACATGCTTTGTGGCATCCGTCAGCTGTTGTTCAATCCTTTCCACAACCTTCCTGAAGGGAGGTCTGTTGAATGGGTCAGCATCCCAGCAGGACCTCATAATATGATACCTACACAGCAGCAGAAACACATAAACACTTTTACTTGCCTGCAGTTATTACATCGCCACGTTCTTTTTTCGTATGTATATTTTTTTATACTTGTGAACAGCCAAATGCAACAGGATGAGAGCAGACTGCTATGCAAATCCCACACATTGCATTTTTTTTATATTCTTACCACCTCTATCCACCATTTCACACCATTTCTCCTATGCTCTTTTTACACACACGTATTAACTTTTTAAAAATAACTCACATTTCACTGGGTGCAAACTCTGGAGCATCCATCCTCTTTCCTTCTTTTATCAGTTTGTAGAACTTGGCATCCACAGGCATGCCAGGATACGGACTGTTTCCTACATTTAGCGGGGAAGATTCAGTTACATTGTGGGGCTCTGAAAAACACACAGACAGCCAGATAAACACACATACAATAGATAGATAGACTTACCTAGTGAGAAGATTTCCCAGAGCAAGATGCCGTAGGACCACACGTCACTCTCAAATGTATACACACACTCAAAGATACTTTCTGGAGACATCCATTTCACAGGCAGACGAGCCTTGGAAAGAAAGCATTGAGTAAGTAAATAGAGAGTTGAATTTGCTCAAAATGTAAAACCTTCCACATCCCTAGTAATGATTTCTTTCTTTTCTGCCTTCTTTAAATGTGGTTGGCGTCAAACATATTATGACTGCTTAATGAACAGACTGTACAAAATGCCAGGAATGCACACAGCGTTTCCCTGAGGATCTAAAAACTCATAGTTCACAACCGCTCTGTGCCGCACACACCTGATATGCACAGATACATTCAAAGACACATCTCACACTTGGGAAACTTTAAAGTCATTAAGCCATCACAGGCGCACGCCAACAGATTTGCATCTCGTATAAATACTACTACTTTTTGTCTTTGTACCTGCGACCAAGGCTATCATAATGGGTATATCTGTTGCTAGGAAACATCTTTAGCTTTGTCTGATTCAAAGCAATCAACGAGATAATGAAGTCACTTTAGTATCAAAAACTGTAAATGTAGAACTCCTAAAGTCAGAGCAAAAAATATCGGATTATGCCAACGTAACTTCCTTCATTCAGTTCGTTGGCTTAACAGTTGCTTACAGTTTATTGTGCTTTGATGTAATGTGACAGTTTACATTGTTAAGTAAGTAAATTATAAGTGTCATTTAAAATGTGTCAACCATTTCCCTTATTAACTTCTTTAAGCTTCAGTGTACTTGCTGCGTTAGCAAGCTCACGTTAGCTTTGTCAGTTCAGGTAAGGTCAGTGCAATGGCACCTAGGTGTAGTCTTTAGTCTTTTCGTTATTGGGGAACTTGTTTGTCACGATTCTCATGTTATGTCACGTTTATAGTTTGGTAGGTTTGGGTGTTTTTGCTGTTTTCCATGTCATGTTTTCCTTTGGGTTATTGTCTGGTCCTTTCCCTGTGTTTTCCTCTTGTCATTAGTTTCCCTGGTGTGTCTAATGGTCTGATTATGTTCACCTGGGCCCCTGTGTTTTCTCCTCCCTCCTCACCTGTGTCTTGTTGTGTGATTGAGTCTTGTGTGTATTTAAGTTCTGGGTTTTCTGTCTGTCTTGGTCGGTTCGTCTTGTTCCCTGACTAGTTCTGCGGTGAGTGTTCTGTTTTGTCATTGTGTATATATCATAGCCTTGAAATAAAGGAATTTTCAGTTTATATCTGCATTTGGGTCCTGCTTGTTTCACAACCCGTGACATTGTTTGCTTGGTGAAACCTGTTTTTAGTTTAGTATCGTGCAAATCTTCATTTTGGTAAATCTTCACACATTAAAACGTCAAGAGAAAGTCAAAGACAGATGGATTTCTAGTTTGGGCTTGAATAAGTGTTGTAAAAAGGATTGATTTTAACCTATTTTCTCTAAGCTTTGAGCAGACCTGTCTTAACAAACATACAGATACAATTAGCTTTCTAGTGATCTACAACAGCCCTAAGGAGGAAGTTTACATACACAGTACCTCTGACAAGTAAAGGCACAATAGACAAAGCAGGGACACGCCCAATAAGCTGGTTAATTCCTTTACACATCTATTTAGACTGTTTCAAACCAGAACACTGAAGCATAGGGTTTGATTTAGGATTATAATGGTATGTTGAAGGGGGGGTTCATGAGAGACACCATTGTATGTATCCTGAACTCTCTGTGTCTTTAGTACAAACTTACATTGCCTTTGACTACATAGTTGGAGTCCATGTTGATGTCTCGTGCCAGGCCAAAATCACAGATCTTTGCTACTCTTCCTTGAGTTAGGAGGATATTTCTTGCAGCCAGGTCTCTGTGGATACACTGAAAAATATGCAGAACCTCTTTAAAGATCAAATGGAACATGTCATATACATCACAATCAATAACACAACATTTGATTTGGATTAAGTGCTTTTTCTAATGTGGTTTGGTACTGATTTTCCACACTTGACTCTGTAACAGACAACCGCACTGACACTGATACATGAGCTTACTGGTCACAGTATCTTGCCCTCACAGCAAATACATCTTTTAACAGCATGCTCCAACATGCATTTAAGATCCGTTTACTGGCTGTGCAACATGATCCTTGCTCTGTAAGATATCACGTCAACAAATTCACATCACAGCTAAATCCAAAGGGTATGACAATGGTAATTTGATGCTCACATTTTTGGAGGCTAAGAACTCCATGCCTTTGGCCACTTGGTGTGAGAAGCTGAGGAGGTCTTCTGTGTCCAGAGACAGACCATCCTCTTCAAACATCTCACTCTCTTCATCTGCTTCAACATAGGAGCCACCTGAGAGGACAAAACAGGACAGAGATTTTTTATTGGCCTGAATCCTACTGTATATTTTAGGATTGAGATATTTGATGAATGACTGGCTTGCTTGCCTTTGCGTATTGAGCGTCTCTTCTCAGAGGATGAGCTGAAAGGCGGGTTGCCAGCAGCAGAAGGCCTCATGGTCATGTAGCCGTTCAAGCTGTCACTGTGAAGAGGAAAGGAGCAGTCTGGTCTTAGCTGAGCACAGCCACACATAGGCACACTGCTGTCCAAATACCCTCCTCCTACGCACACTCTGGATAGTAAATACGAGTACTCTCTTTTCTCTTACACACACACTATAACTTTCATTACACAAAAATAAAAACCTCACCCAGCTGTGTCTCTCTGTGGCATCACGTTGCGGTAGTGGCAGTCTTCTTCGAGCTTATAGCAGATGAATGATTCCCTCTTTCTGCGTAGAAAGTTAAGAAGGTCTCCAAAGCAGCAGTACTCTGTGATCACCAGTGTAGGGCCTTCAAACAAAGAAACATACCTTAAGATGATGATCTTACCAGATACATAGATTTAGTAATTTGGCAAAACTATAGAGGTGGCACACTCATTAGATTATGTCCACAATCTTTGTTGTTTCACTCTAAATTCTTAAATGAATATACAGGACAACATGGCTGCCGCACCTCCAACAGTGCAGGCTCCCAGCAAGTTGACAATATTCATGTGGTTTCCCAAGTAACTGAGGACTTTCAGCTCTGACATCAGCGCCTCTTTCTCTGTGGCGTGAGCGCTAGCTGTGGGGGGAAAAACATTTGAATATAATCAGTAACATTATCAAAAGGATTCCGAGTAAACTCAAGTTGAACTATGATTATGGATCATCATCTGGTATTTGGAGGATAAATACATTAGTTATTGTTTGAAGGAAATAAAAAAAGGTTCCTAAATATGATGATTTGTAGCAGTGTGCAAATCACCAAATACAAATATTCTTAAACTATGGTCTAAAACCAACAAGTAAGACACATGTGAAACAACGCTTACATTTGAGCATTTTCACAGCCACCGTCATGACTGAATCTGCTTTGGAGATGCCATATGCTGTGGCTTCCACCACTTTTCCAAATGCACCAGATCCCAGTGTCTTCCCTGAAAAAAAGATGACGGACATTAAACTGTTATTCCCAACCCTTTTCCCCTCCAACAAACTGGTTTTATGCCGCTGTTCCTAGAATAGCACTAGTTTTAGCCCCCGGGCTGTGTACATAGGCACCAGGACATGCAGGATCCTGTTTAAGGATTTTTAAAAACACCACCCATAATATGTCAACATTATTATGTTTGCAGTGAAGGAGTGGGCTTTCATCATGTATGAGCTGTGAAACTGGTTAGTAACAAGACACATGGCTAAAACCTTAACGTTGTGTAACTTGACACAGAAATATTACAATTTCTCAATCAGCATGAAGTTGCCTGCGGGTGACAGGGTTATCTCATTCTGACTGCACTGTAAGGCCTTGTTATTCAAACTATTACTGTCACAAGCCCTCATCTATGACCACATCATCATTTATCTGCGCCTACAATGAAGACACTTGAATGTCAGAAATTGCATATTAATGGATTTGTAAAGGCCTAGACACAGCTCTTAACGCTGTCAACATTGATAAAGGAGGGCAGGGCTCTTACCAAAGCGCAAGTTATTCCGAGGAAACTCCCACTGGTGATCGTATGGTAGCTGGGTGGGGTCAATGTACACATAGTTGTTTCCATGGATGCCCTCGATAACTTTCCACTGAATCTGGTATTTGGGTTTCTGGCAAGAATTCAAATACAATGATACACCTTATTAATGCTACAATGAAGTTTCAACATGCTGCTCTTTTGATTTATCATTTCCCAAACATGATAGAAGAGGGCGTGCCATATTGGAAGAGTGCAGAGCTGTCTTACCTGCATGTACTTGTAGAACAGTATGATAAGGACGAGACAAAGGATGCCTGCTGCCGATACCGAGCCAATTAACAGAGGGGTGAACAGATCATGGGTGACAGTTCTCTCTACAGGGAGAGAGAAATGATATAGTGAGATACAAAAGCAGTTGCAATAGAGTCTATTGGTGACTTGTTCAATGATCTAATATGTTTATACTCTAAATGACATTGCAAAGGGGCATTAAGGTAAGCCAGAGAGGACTTAGTCACGGTGAAGCACACTTTGGTCAAATCACAGCAAACAAATCCAATTATTTATGTATTTATATATGTTCCCATTCTCTGTTATATTCTTGTTACTGTTATATCATTCAGTTGAACTGCTTGACATCTGTTTTGATTATACAATACCTAACTGTATTTACTTTGCCTTTACAGCTGTGTCTCTGTGGGTAATTATATGTAATCAGTGTTCTGTCCCTTTGTGTCTGGCTGTTTTTGATGCATTATTGTCTTTCTCCTCTGCACGGTGGGGTGTAATAAGCTCTTTAGAGATAAGCAGCTTTCTCTCCACTTCAAATCGGAAAATGCAGAGTCTGCAGGAACTAATCCCCTGTAAACCTGTCAGTGGTTTCTATAGCTCTATGTATTCCCTGCTGCAGCTCATTGACACCTCCAAGCCTCCCACTGCCCCAGAACGCAGCAGCAGCAAGCCAGGACTCCTACTGAGCTCCACACTCTGAGCGCCTCCGCCTGGTCTGCTGTTACTCTGCGAAGCACAAAATTCCTCTGCACACGCTCCCAAACGCTTGTCCAGCCTTGCCACAAACACTCTCCCTTATAATGCTCGCCCACATGCCCGCTGTAGCCACAGTTAGACCCCCATGTCCTGCATAAACCCAGGTCTCCACGGTCAGGCCGGGACAACTTCTGTACTTTCAGCTATTGCACTTGAGAGTTCATTATAAAGCATATGGGAGGGCTGTTAAACAGAGCGGATTTGGAGTGATAAAGTAAACAAGAGACTAAAGCTAAATCCTATATTTAAGTTACACATCTTATCGTGGTGAAACCTGTCTGAGGATTTTCTCCTTGCCTTTGTTTAACAAACAGATTATAAACCACCAATTTCTAGTACTAAAACCACACCTATGGGTTAATCATTTCCAAAATCATGCTTGAAGTAAATATTTTGAATTAGGGATTAAGTTCCATGTGGGGTTTACAGAATTACTAACGTTGTTTCACAATGCACAAGGAGGAATGAGTCATAAGCTTAAAAAACGACTAACATCAGTTAAAAAACTGTGAAAAAGAACATCAGGTGGATACAAATATGGATAAAATTGTCATGTCTTTGTGTCCTATTATATAATGTTGACTTCAATGGGCTTGATTATAATCTAAAGTTGAGGAGATGGAGAAGATTACGTCAAATCAGCAACAAAACATGAGACTGGCGACAGGCGCCCCGTTCAAGATCACATGGCCTGCATTTAACTGACTGCATACTACTTTATTTACGCAGGTGTGTATATTTGTGATATCTACTCACCGCTGATGGAAAAGAGTGTGTAGGCCTGCTCTCCCTCCACCGTCGCCACACATTCCAGAGTACTGAAACGTCCCCTGCTGACGTTCACCCGACTTTCCACCTCCGTCTTCCCAAACATGGGGCTGAACAGAGTCACAGTGATGACATTTTGCTCTTCCTGGGTGGCATTCACCTGTTGGGAGCACCTGAAGGCAGAAATGTTTGCATTGTTAAGAATTGGCAGTGGGGATCAGCGATTGTCTCACTCTGACATCTGATCTCTCGCCTTTGTCACAGAAGTAAAACATTCTGGATTTCCTCAGACTTAAAAACTATTTTTGTGATATAAAACATAACAAAACATGCAAAACCATGGACACAAGTTGACCAGAAGTCATACAAATGGTTAGGAATTCTACCTATGTTCATGAAATAGCGAAAAAAAAACGGGGCTTATCTTTCACAGCATCACACCATAAAAAAGCAGCTGTTATCAAAATGTTCTCTGAACACAGGCCCACTCTGTCTGGACACATCACTTTCACGTTTTGCACATACATGTTCGTGAGTGCATGCAATGAGTTTTAATTGGATTTGATTGTGATTACTGAATTACTGGATAAGTTTGGATAATCACTTATGATTCACTGCCTGTGCTGCATGGGATTGGTGTTGTTATTGCTACCAGGTGCTCCTCCTTCAACACACGTTCTGTATAACACAATACCAGGCGCGTCCAATTGGATCCAGGCAGACATCCAAGGCACCTACCAACAAGTTAATCTTTCTCCCGTCAAATCCCACAATCTGAACATTCCCTGCATCATAATACCTGACTCTATCCAACGTGTCCTTAAAGTGACCTTTAGTATCCCCAAGAGACTCTTCATATGAGTTTCCCAAACATCTAAACGTGAAACTGAAAATAAAGATCACATATGAATTGAAATGGTGGGTGGATCCCTTGTAATCAATGGCTGGCGCTCATCATCAATAGAGTAACTGAACATACATCTTGTGGCTACAGTTGAACACACAGACAGACATGCATGTTTTATTGCCATTGCAAAAGCCATTACATTTGTTGGCAAACATCAACATACTAATTGGATTTTCATTGTTATGGTGCATGATGCTTTTGATTTTCGTTTGGCAGCTTTTCTTTTGTTTAGTCAGTTTGATGACCAGTCTGCCTTATAACGTTTTACAATCCATGTTACTACTTTAGACTCTGTTAGGTGCACTTATTAAACCATCCAAGCATGTTCTGTTTAACCAAACTACTGTTTATTTTTAACTAATAAATTAGGATAAATGTTTTGACAAAACACAGGGCTTATCTTATTTAAAGCTACTTATGAAGCCTCATTAAACATGGTTGCAAATAAATATTTCTCTATAAAGTTAAACATTAACGACTCAATAAGAAGCAATTATAACTCAGTAGGACTGTGAGTATTTCTTATTGGTCAGATTTAACTGGAGTTGTAGAAGTAACCCCTGTTACTTTCATCGATACCTTTTGAATGGCGCAAAGACATTTTACACCCTAGATCCCAATTTAGCTCAACAACCGAAAACTAAAGAAAGGCACAGACAATACATTAATGCACCAAACTCTTGTTTTAAACAACCATTAGTGTTTGGACTTGTAGCTGCCAATTACAAAAGCTGATTGATGAAAAAGGTATATAAGCTTTTATTAAAATCTCACCGGGCATATGGCTGCTCACAGTAGTACCAGGCGATCTGCGGGGCAGGAAACCCCTCTGCCACACAGCGTACCTGTCCGTCAACTGGGCCCTCATGAGATACAATCTCTGGTTTACCTATAGGAAAAACAAGTGAGTCAGGTAAGAGATGAATGACAAGCTGGAGTTTTTTTTATTTGCATTGAACCGTAGTGAGCTATAAATGATACAGTGTAAGGTTGAGAGCAAGACCTCATTTCCCACAAAGAAAAAGGTCAATAAGACCCTTTCCCACATGTCAGCTCCTGAGGTTAATACAGTTCGTTATATGGCTTTAGGGAAGAAAAAACCTTTAAAAAATCATTAACACAACTTACTGATCACAAAGATGGTGAATGTGTGGTTTACTGAAGCGTCACCGTTGGAGGCTTGAAAGGTGTAAACTCCGCTCTCTGACATTTTCAGCCGCACGAGCCTCAGCTCACTGCTGTACCTGAACACAAATTACATTTTTAGCATGAATGCATTCATACATTTTTTATAAGAATAAGTGCTTTTACATTTATTTTACAAAACTGGTATTTCCCTTTTCTGTTTATCAATGCTGCCTGAGAAGATAAAGTATTTGCCTTTTTGAAATTATATCAAGTATTTTCTTTTGCTCTTAAATGCAAATATGTTGATTGACAGTATACGTATGTAAATCATTTATAGAAAAATAACAAGTAGAACAACATGTAGTGGTATTTTCAAAGATCTTTTGGACTCCCTGACAAAGGCTTCATCCTGTTAGGTCTAACATCATTTGCCATAACAACAAAGGTGTTTTGGTTGATTAAAAAGGGAGTGCCTTGGAGTCTCGAGCAATTTACAAACTCATTTTAAGAAGCTTTTTTCTATAGTCGAGGTTACTTTTTTCCCACAGTTGATATGGATTTATTGATTTCCAATAGAGGATTAAAAGGTCATCTGATATTTTTCACAAAATAAAAAGAAGGTTGAAATGAGTGGAAAAGCATACAGCCTTCAAACATATTAAGCAGTATCTCTATAAGCAGAAATAATTATTGTTTTATTTTCCTGTATGTGCAATTTATATTTCGACACTCCCGTTCCACCAGTGTTTATGGAACCCTCTTAAAATTCCTGCTGCTCTTCTCAGCTGGCTGTTACAAGTGTAGCCGATGCATTAACACTGCCCTAACCTGCAGCCAAACCTAAGTGTTAAATTCCACTCCGCATGGGTAATGAACATTTCCATCTATGTGGTAAAAGTGGAGCACTTAAAGCGTGTGTGTTTGTCTCACCTGTACTCATGGACGTGAGTGGTGATGACATGGTCGGTTGTGTTTCTCAGCTGCTGGCCCATGAAGCTCCAGGAGAACCAGTGCAGCTTTGGATAAGCCTCCATCTCAACATTTAGGGGCAAATTCTCGCCTGAACGTACATGGATGGTTTCATTGATTGCGGGTGTTAAATTGATGAATCCTTTTTCTGAAAAATAAGGAAATGAGACACTGTTATCAGGATTTGAAGAGGTCAAATGTTGTCTATATTTCTTTGAAGTGTCCAGACCTCACAGTTCAAAGTTCAAGTTAACAAAAGGCGGCTTCAAATATCTTCACACACTCACCGTAAACATCGAGCCACACTGACTGTGTGCTGACCCCTTTCTCATTCTCAGCTTCACATCGGTAACGTCCGACGTCTTGAGGTCCGACCTCAGTGGTGGTCAAGGTGGCGCTGCGCACGTGAGTGAAGTTCTCCTCCAGGATACGCGAAACACCGCCAACCTTTGGTGGTTGCTGTGGATACCAGACGGCACCCTGTCAACGCCCAGAGATCTCTAGAGATTAACCCTGTCTGCATATCTATCCTCGCCAAGCACAGCACTGACATGAACACACAACCGCCTGCATGCAAGTAAACACACGCACACTTTGGTCCACATGGTTCACACAAAGCCAAGATCTTTGACCCCTCTCACTCTCTTTCATCAGAACAACCACTGATACCAGTACATGTGAACCTCTCAGTTAAAACAAAGAAGTATTTTAATCTAATTGGAAAACATAATAATTTATTTTCTAGTTTGGAACATTTAAATGTAACAATTTTCAGGTAAAAACCAATGGAGCCGACAGGTGTTTATCATTAGGTGTCATAGCATTTCATGACTGCAAGAAAAAAAGACAAATTCAGAACACATGTGGTGAGTATAATTCCACAGGTCTGCTGATATTTAGTGTTTGAATGTTCCCAAACATTAAAGTGAATTATCTGGTTTTACTTATCATAGCCCGTTTAAATCTTAAAAGCAAACAATCAACAGTTAAGTGTGAATTCACAAAAGGAATGTGCAGCCTTTGCTAACCCCAATTTTGCCGCAAAGCAAATAGCGTCTTGATGATTCCTTGCTATTTGCACCTACTAAAATTACAAACATTTGGCCCTTTTCAGTGCAGATTAGCCTCACTGCGAACACCTATAAAATTCAAAGAGACTAACCCAAATAACCACACGCAGTTAAAGTGCGCTTAAATACCGTAAGTTCAATACCTTTTGTGAATCAGATCTTGACACGTTGAAGATTTGTTTTGCAATTTCTGGTTTTATCAGCAGCCACAAGACATTCTTTGTGAATTTGCCCAAAATCTCTACAACAACAGATCCCCAACAGCACCCAGCAAAGGAAAGGCAGAAGAGTCTCACCGAGCCAGGTGGGGTGACCCACTTTAGATGGATTTCTCCATTGACATTAGTAGTGTTGCAGGTGAGGGATAGACCTTCATCCCTGATGAGAATCACTCTTTTGGACGCCTGCATCTCAATCACAGGAGGAGCAATGGGTACTAAAAGGAAATCAAAGGAAATTTGACTGAATTATCAACCTGTGCTTTTGGAGCACCAACGCACATACATACATGCATTTAATTCACTTTACCTGGTCTCACGATCAAGTTGTATTGAAATGATCTGACGTTCTCTTCCTTGAGTCTTCCTGTGCACACATAACAACCTTCGTAGGACTTTCGTGTGTTGAAGATGGTGATGCCTTTCTCGAGGCTCGCAGAAAACTGGAGACCAGAGGCCAGAGCTCTACTTGAACATGTTTCCAGGCGCAGGTTGTCCAGACTTGGATCAGTCGCCAGGCAGGAGATGGAAGCAGTGTCTCCCTCTCTAGTAAGAATCTTGTCCACCATTGATTTTCTGAAGGGATTTACAGGATCTGCCAAAAATGTAGGCGTCAGAGCTGTAAGGGGGGCTGCACACTGAATTGTTGAAGCTTTAGTTTTTGACAGCCATGATGTAATAATGCTACATAAAAATATACTTTTATCTTGTTGCCAAATCATATTCCATGTTGCCAATGAAATGTGGCACAAATTCCAAACTACATTTTTTAATGAATTTTACATTTTAATCCAATACCAATTTCACAAGATAAAAGCTGGTGTAGCCAATTCTACAGTCAGAAATGATGCAATTATAAGAGTGTGAATCAACCCCAGAACTTCAACAGATTAATTTAAGGAATGTTAACGTCTCTTTTCTTCCTGGCTTCATAGTGCTTCACTGATCCAAAGTTGGCAGTATCTTCACAAGAAGAGCACTGATGCTCTAACACAAATAATGAAGAAGACTGCTGGCTAATACACAAGGTCGTAAACAGTAAAGGTATTTGGCAACAGCAACCATGGGTGTTGCCAAATAGAACAGAACTTATAACGTAAACTTACAATATCTAAACTATAATAGTTACTTCTCATTTCTAGAATTGACAGTCACCATGACATACCCGGCAAAAGTAATGATTCTGCAGTATGTCTATAAAGTGATATCTACCCAGTAGAGGCAAAGAGTAGTAAAAACATTCAATTGTCCAATTACATAAATTCAATTCTAATCTATTTTAGTGATGGTACATGTGAGCCTCTCATCTAGTAAGTAGTGACTGCTTGTTTCTTCATCGGTTATGTGTGGTTTGTGGAGCCTGCAGTGATGGCAGTGGGCCAATGGGATATGAAGAGACATAGAGAAGAAAAATACAGTAAACTCAGTCATGCACTCAATAAATAGTTACAGCATCTACTGCACCTGTCCAGGGCAAAGATACTAACACCTTTGTCTGCGAGCACTCCCACACACACTGTTCCCTTCCTCCGCTTTACTCTGCAGTCTGTCTCACCCTGCTCTACATTTTACTTCTCTTTCTTCTCTCTCACACTCAAACACCACATAATATCTAACACATGTAATCAACCAAATACCCTCAATTACTGAGAGTTACATCCATCTACCTTTCACATAGACGTAGATGGAGGTTTGCGCTTTGGACATTTCCTCTAGGCAGATGTAGCGGCCCATGTGAGCTGGCTGAGCCCTGGAGATGCGCACTGTGGACATCCCAGTAATCTTTATCTCTCCCCGCACCTTCGGCCGGTCCTCCCGCTGCCACTGCATCTCCTTCTCACCCTGACAACGCAGCTCGAAGGGTGCGTTGAGCGGGACAACAAGGTGACTTCCAGCTGGGGTAATAGTTGGCTTGGTGTTGCCTATAAACCGATAGAGAGGGAAATCAATTGCATGTAAAACATGTCAAAATCATGAGGAGCCAATTTGGGTTCACAACATTAGGAAGCAAAACCTCATGTGAGTGGGATCATGGCCACATTGCTGATGTTTGTTCAGCCAGAGGAAGAAAGAGAGTTTCTTTGTTTGAAAAACCTCAAAATTAAGTTGTGCTAAATAATAAGTAAACCATGTTTTTATTAGAGCATCGGTTCCAAACCCATAATGGCCTGTGACTAACTTGTGACTCCTCGGCTGCGTTTTATAGCCTCAGTGTGGACACAAGCTGTGAGCAGTTCCACAAAAGATATTTCATAAACAGTTGAAAATATGCAGTATTTCACAAGTAAAGCCCCAACTTAAACAATATGTTCGATACCTTTATTTTTTAGATTGTTTTACATTGGAAAAACTGAGGCTTTGAATTCTGACTATCATCATAATGCAGGTAAAGATGCTTGGTGTAATGCTCAACCTCTTGACATCTGAGCAGATCTCTGTAATTACATTATCACGGAAACATGACATACAAATCAACACAAACAGAAACAAATAAAACTAATGTGTGTAGCCTTCGGACATTTAAAATGCTTTAAAACAGGAGAGCAAAGAGCTACAGCATTGTATTAAAATGTGTCAATTTAGAGAAGGCTAGTTCTGCTGGCTCTGTTTGCAGAGCATCTGCACATGCTATGCGTAAATATTTGTCTAACAACGGTGGAATTTAACTCAAAGGTTTTGTCAGCAACAGTCCAGGGAGCTACAAGTGTCCATGTGAGGTATATTTAATAAATAAAATGGTATATTTATTGATTATGGTGAAAGTGAATTAGGTCTGACTGTCGCCTGAGTGAACAAGCTTAAGGCAAACGTAATAGCGTGCCCTGCATCACATGACCAGCAAGCCTGTGCAGACTGCGTTAAGATGTGGCAGTCATTCAAAGTCCCTGATGATACCGACATGGCGTGAACATCAACGGAATCCCATGAGATCATAGCTGTACTTTCAAGCTGTCGTTCAGATGGAAATGAGAGAAAGAGCCCACCTGATGCCGCCCTGAGCAGCAGGAGGTTGGCAGACCCAGCGAGAACAGAAACCATGTGGTTCACAGTTTATCTGCAAGGTTGGCTGGTTGAATGCAGCCTGCCAAAACAACGTTCAATAAATGTGCGAGCCGCGTCTGGAGAAATCTTCAACTATTTTTCTACAATAAGATAAAAGTTGACTTTGGACTGAGTTTCCTCGCATTTGAACATACTGTAAGGAATAGCACTTATGTGAACCATCATATAAAACAACGATTCAAGATTAAATGTGTAAAACAAGGCAGTAAAACACAATTTGGTGTTTCTGGACCTTGACATCTGGAGTAATACTCTGAAGATGATGTAAGGCGATAATTATTGCAATGTCTTTTCAAAATTAAACCAAAATGCTCAAAAAGACACATGATGTGACAATATTCAAATAAAAGAAAAATGATACACGCATGCAGAGCAGTTCTACAAGTGCTAGTTTGCATGCTTCCAATGAGCCAGGAGTTGCCACTATATTTTCATAAAGACGGTTTTGTGCAGGGAGGAACACCGTATGAACCTGTCGCGTAAAACATAACGACCAAAAAGCCCCTTTGCATCGAGCTCACATAACCCGCCACAACCTCCACTGTTTGATTACTTTTCTGTTCAATTTGAGATGTTCTCTGACAAAAACATGAATTATTAAAGTAGCTCGTTTGCATCCACATCATCAACCCAAGTATCCACTTTCCTCATCAGGTTTGAGTGACTTTACTTGGTCTTATCAGCAGCCTTCACAACTCAATGCACCAGAACAAAGGCAATTGAGTAGAAATTCACCATACAGTCAATGTTGAAGTGGAGCATTTAAATGCATGCAGATTACTACGCAAAATCGAGCTGATTAAATGTAGGCATTCAGATGTTGTCGAGACTATTTTCCAAAAGTCAACAGCAACAAGTTGTCTGCATAGATAGACCAAGTGAAAATGATGAGTCTTACCTGGATGGAAGAGTAACTGTAAAAACACAGACAGCAATATCCAGTGGTATTCCATAGTTATTATTCCATGGGTCTAGCTGTGAAGATGAGCCAGTGCCTCTCTGGTTGTCTCTACTCTACTCGCCGAGCGCCTCGGAGTTGTGGGAAGTTGGCTTCAGGCTCTGATAGAGGCGCACTTATAAGTCTTTAAAGGCGCAGATGCTCAGTACAGCTCGCAAAAGCAGCAGTCGTCGCCTGTATGCAAACATGTTGTTCTCCTGGAGCGAGGCGGACCAGGTAGATCTGACTGTGGCGTCAACAAAGCGTTTATAGGAGCCAGTGGTGGAGCCTATTACTCATGCCCAACACAGGGAGGGAGGCGTTTGGGACCTGCTATCTGCTTCCGAGAGAGAAACACCAAGCGCACGTACAGAGTGTAGGAGCAAGATATAGATTCAGTCATGGAGTCCAGTCTTTTCCATCTGTTATGACACCTCTTTCCACATGTCTTAATGAAAACATCACCCTAACTTTTATTTTATTGTAAGGACACAATTGCCATAGTTCTCCATTAAATCTTATAATCATTTATTTCCATTTCACACAACCTCACACACGCACCAAACCCCCCAAAAACCCAAATGGAGACAAGAACATCACATAATGACCCTTTGTCTTTTGCTGCCTCATGATACCACACATGACTGTTTGTGAAAGGCACGCAGTCGTAGGCTTCTAGAGTTAGCTTAGTTTTACATGGGCTATAAAACAATAAAACTATCTTGATTGTTGTCCGATTAATGTTGACAGCAATGAGCAATTCCATCTTTATTGAAAACAGATGCAATGCCAACCACTTCAAACTGGCCCTTAAAGTTAATTCCTTTGGTTGCAAATCATTTACCATATATCCTCTTTCAAATTCTGGCCTTTTGTGTTTTTATAGTTCACGATTTGGATAGTCAAGAAAACCGAAAACATATTTGAATGGTCTGTTTATCCTACGAGATGTTATGCCTCCGCAATAATCATGCACATATGTTGCACAGTTCTGCTCCACACTACCTCTTTTTGTATCTGCGAAGCTCTATTTGAATAGTATTTGTCATATATGATTTTAGCAGTTTCTTGTATATTCATATTTTGTAAAAATATTGTCTTTGTTTTTTATTTATTGCCTTTAAAGCGTTTTGTTTTTTTAATAGTCAAATGTTTTGCCCCTTTAAAAAATAAAAAACGTTCTGTGTCTTTCTATGCACCATTTACACCATAGCAAGTTTCTCGTAGAACTATAGGCTACTTGGTAATAAACCAGATTTGTCAAGGGGTGAACTCTGAGGCATGAACTCAAATGCACAACTCAGACTCAGACTCGGGTGGTATTCAAAAATAAAGACTTTACTGGAAGTTACACAGTAACAAAAACAAGAAACACAAAATCACTCTTCCGAGGAAAAACTAAATGCAATAATGAGCATGAGAAAACGGAATACGACCATGGAGCAGGCTTGAAGGTGTTCATGAATAAGAAACGAACTGGCACTGGAAAGGTGGGGGCTAACACAATATATACCCAAGGTGAGGGGAACAGGTGGAAACAATCAGGGCGGGGAAACTAATCACGAACACAGGAGACACAAAGGGGCGGGGAGCATGGAGTTCTGAAACGAGAGGAGGAATACTTATTACAATAAGACAGAGGGCACAGGAAAAAGGGACATGACAAAACTAATATAAAGAATAGCCTTTCATGATAAGTTTCCAAGACAAGACAAGATTCTGATTCTGACATACTGTATGTGCATTATGTTTTGTATATTATTACAACAACTCTACATTTTATTATTTGTATCTTCGTCTTAATTTGTTTAGCTATGCATAAAGTTTTCCTCCAAATGGGAGCCCTATAATAAAAGTTTAAAAAGAACCGTATATAACTACTCCAGTGATTTAGTTTTGTACTAAAGGTACAGTTGAGAGGACTGCTGATACCATGTGATATATGGTATTTATTACATGAAAATAACAATATCAAAGCATCAGAGGCAGAAATGTACTGACTTCTTTTCACTAATTTGGGTCAAACCTCAACAACACTCAGTCCTACATTTCCCATGAAGCACCTCAATAGAATGCATGTCAAATGAACTTGATATTTGATACTCAACGCCTCTGGTTTTTTACCTTTTTATAACATTTTCTGACAAATATTTTAAAAGCAGTAACCTTAGCCAATGAAGACATTGCTGAACTTTTATCATAGTAGTATTCTGCAGGACATGTAAGCTGATCTTTATGTGTACAATTGTTGGAGAGTTTCTTATCTCATTACATCTTATCACTTGTAATTCGGACCATACTACCTTCTGCCTCTATTTATTCATGCATTTATTTTCTATAACTTGCATGATTTGATGTGGCTTTTTTCTCTTGGTAAACACCGGCTGATACCCCTTAAACATCTAATTTTTTTAGTGACATTAGATGCAAAGGACTTTGGCTATGGATGGAGCATTACCTCACCCTAAACTCAAAAACCAGAAACCCAAATACTTTGTGAGAAGTAATACTTGTTTAACAACTAACAACAAACAGTTATGCGGTTGCTTATTTTTACCTCAGGCTGAATGTTTTTATTATTCATTCAACAACCATAACGAAATTGAGGTGCATGCTGTGGTAACATGTAATCACTCTACATTAGAAAAAGGTGGCTCAACTGACAAGTGGTGGATGCTTGATGTGACTATTAACTGTTGTTATCTTTACCCCTCTCATAATAGCTAACCAGTTTATACTCTGTAAATCCTCACTACCTGCTCATAAAGTTTGTGCATGTTGGTCATGAGTGCTCTCGATCCACAGAAGTGCTGCAGGCTGCTTTATTAATATATTTATTTAACACAAGACTCCTGCCATCCCACAGGGCTCCCCAGAGGAAAAATTGAAATAACAAGGTCCTGTTTTCATTATGTGTGCAGAGCTGTCCTCTCACAGAAAATCATGCTTGTTGGAATACATGTCTCTTCACCATTACAGTTGTATTAACCATAAATTCAAGCTTTTTATCAACATTTTATATAATTTGAGAAATACATAAACAAACGATAAAATATTAAATTGTGTGCGCTTAGTGTAGATGGAAGAGAGTCAAGCCATGGGTTTGTCTTCAAGGGCCAGATTCATTCTGTCATTTAACATCTTCCACAATCATTTCTCATAACGTGAGTAACACAGACCACTCTTAAAGGCTCTAATGGCTTACACACTGAAACCAAATCTCTAATTGAACTTCCTTGAAGCATTAACTCCTGCAAAAGACCCATCAATTATCACACATTGATTTTTCCATTCACATAAATGTCTTGCAGGATATAGCACAAAATCATTTCTGTCTGATTAACATACGAACACACGTGTTGTCTACTCCACCATTGAAAGAATTGTGTTTATCTGAACGTTTTTCGAATGAGAAAATGTAATCTATTAAAACTTCTTTGTTTATTTTATTTTTCCTTCTACCGCAAAATCATGGTTGTAATGTGAGACTGTTTTGTCTTTTCTGTACTTAGACAGAGGAAGCATCAGTCTCCTGTCTTAGCCTCCAAAACAAAGTTTGTACTGAGTCTCTGTCAAAAACATTTCCTCTGATGAGGCTGGAGGAAAAGGTCAGGGAGGCACAAGGATTATGGGAGAAAAAGGATATAGGAACAGGATTGTTCTTACACTAAATAATGTTTGTTTGAGTCCTTACCCACACTGAAAAAAAGGGGAAAGTGGGGTTGTTCAATTTACAAATATGCATTTAATATGAAACCTAATTTATTCATGTTTCTCGTCGAAACATGAATCAATCATGTAGAACTATGTTAATCTTGAGGGGTGTACGTTCTATAAGTCTCAGTCATGTTAAGAAATAAGAAAAAAGTTATGTTTGTCTCTGTAACTCCGCCCACTGAGCACATACGTCAGCAGCTTGCTCCGCAGCCGATTACTCAGCTTCTAATTATTATTTACAAATATTTTATTCACAAATGAATATGGTCGGACTCAAACCCGTACTTTAATAGTTTCGTAATTGAACCTGAACAATATGGCACTTTAATGGACAAGATGTAAAGCAGAAAAAAATTGCAAAATATATTTATTTTTAAAAATGTGAAGCTTTTTCTTTTTTAAACAAAGGAGGGGGGGGAGGGGTTCTACAATTTTTTCTTCCCGCATCGGAGGAGTAAGCTGGTTCTGTCCCGAGAACATCTCTACAAGGTAAAAGTTACTTAATGTCATCAAATGTTCGTCATAGTTACAGGTTATCACAAGATGCATTGTTTGCAAAAAGCAGAGTTCACATTTGCCGTTACAACGAGCAACGTAAATTTAGCTGTCAATTTGTAAACATTGTCATTCACTGGTGTTAGCTAGGATAAAGCCATGAAAATCATAAGGTGAGTTTATATTGATTGACTTGTGTTTAGCATGTTTTTAGTA